ATAATATTTAATATCAATGTGTAACTAATAATATTTTGAACGATGCGTAGTAATTAATAAATAATAATTACCGGTACATAATATTATGCATCTCGTTTATTGCGTATTATGTAAATTCAAATCTTCGACAGACGACGATATGGTCGCAAGTCCGACGCGATCGAACTGCAACATTTTTCCGTAAATATTACGAAAAATGTATACTATTACCTTAAATCTATAATATTCTCACTTGACCCAACTCGTCCAAACGATGGAGACGTAGCTGTTTTTCATTAAAAAGGCTCTTATGTTAAAGTATATCATATTTTTCTGATGAAATTTAGCTTCTTCTGTATTGTATTATGACGTATCTTCATTATACTAAGGTGTGATCGTTATTTGACGAATCACCGGCGCCGCATATTCTACTCATCCGTTTTTTCACTCGGTTTTCCAAGTTTCTAATTTCAAAACAKAACSGTTGTCTAAAATAGAATCTATAGGGTCCATATTGYTTATATGCGTTTTGTGCTTAGACGATCGGGCCGGGACTATTAATGAGACTATATAGTTATAGTAAGATTATAAAGGCAATGCACAGATTCTGATTCGCATCTCATCGTCGCAATTCGCAGCTAAATCTGCTTCGAACTGTGGTCGATATTCAATTAATTGAAATCAAGTATTCATTGCGAATTTTTGCTATGCATTCTATTCTATTACATTAACGTATCGAGAAATGTCYTAATATTTAATCATTGTTTAACATGTGAGATAAAAATGACCCTGTACATAATTAATGAATGCGGTTTTCGCTGTAACGATTTACATATTATTATTTTTTTACCCCGTAAATAACACGCACAAGCGCGTTCGTCATGTTTTTATTTTCATTATTATTATTTATTATACGAAAATATTATTATCTCCTTAWTTTTTTTTCGCCATTCCCGAGAAATTCAAGAAACTCTTATCGATTCATCAGCAACCAGACTGCTATATAATAATAATGATTGTTGTAATTACACAAAATAATACTATGCGSTTGCGTCGTTCACTCGGTCCAGACGTCAACGCTTTTTGATAACGCGCACGAAGTGCAGATATATTTGTTTGCGATTCTGTAATTGTGCAGAATAATACAATAAAATAACTTTGATTTCGGACAATAGATTCGATTGTACCTATTATTCAAAATGCCCATGCATGCCCTACATACCACGAAAATTATCGATATGCACGGGTATAAAAACGATCTATTATGATATCGTACAAAGTACACARACGAAAATCGATAACGGCTTGCAAACGAGTGGGTATTCATATAATATTGTACACAATCAAAATATTATAATATGAAGTGTAAAGTAACTAAAAAAAAAATTTCATTTTGAGTTAGTTACACACAGTTTAATACGATAAGAGTTATGTTCTTAACAACGCACGTATTTACGTATAACATAACTCTTATCGTATTAAACTGTGTGTAACTAACTCAAAATGAAATTTTTTTTTTTAGTTACTTTACACTTCATATTATAATATTTTGATTGTTTACAATATTGTTCTTAACAACGCACGTATTTACGTATAACCTAACCTACCTAATGTTTGCTTAAATTAAAATCAAAATTGTAATATTATATGTATTATATGTATTTTTGTATTTAAAAGAATATTTACAATCTATACGTCTTGTAGTAGCATAATGAGTAAACTATACGAATAATACGAATAGAGTATGACAAAATTAAAATATAAAAGTACATAAAGATATGATAGAGAAGGCGGAAAATAAAATATTAGATGTTAAATATTATATTTTTTGTGCTATGAGTGATGAGCATATTAGATGTTTAAAAAAATTTTGCAARATCTGTTAACTCGATCATCTCAAATCCAATTCTTTGAGTAAGATAATATTACTATAGGTACACACTTATGATGTTCTGATTACGCGTGACTACATGAGGTGTAAAATATTATTGTACCTATATTTGTAAACTATTTCGCGAACGAATATTTTACACCAGAGATTTGAACGATCATTTAATTTATTGACGAGTAATAATTATTATTGCGTTACCGAAAAATGCCATCGTACAATTTAAATAGTTCCAATACACAATTAACCTAACCCATGACGTTAATATTATATTGACCCCAATTATATCACCAATAACGCTCTATACGCCAAAACACTACATGACCATCTCATATTATATAATAAGTATACATAACATCATATAGTTAAATATGATGCGAAAACCGCCAATTTACGGTTACAGAATWATATAAAATAATATGTCTCGCGAACGACACATTATCAATGAGGGTGTCGAGTCGTGGTCGAGGACGACTGTCAGTCGTATAATTGATTTTTTTGAAATAAACGGCCAGAAAACTTGTGATTTTGAAATTTCCTTAACATTATTATTTATTTTCATATTTTTATTTTGTTACTGGGCTACTCTAACCATGCCCGGATTTTGGAATAGTTTTAATGTATTACTCGTGTGATGAATATAAGTAAGATCAAGACAATCTATATTAGTAAATAAATGTATTATAAATAACACGATACGTTAGTTTGAAAAAGTAATTATAAAATAATATAGGCACCTACCTACTACTTAGCTCATAGGTATATCCATATACAACGATATATATATGTATTAAAGTGCTGGTGAATATTATGATGGAATCAGACCAAGTATAGGTTGGTAATTAACTTTAAAGATWTAATAATGAAGTTGATATTTTACCGTTGAAAAAAAGAAAATATGATATTGTTCGATTAATCTTTTAAAAATTAAGATTCTCATGATACAATCAAGCAGTGCCGTATCCAGGGGGTGGGATTTTGGGCTTAAGCCCCCTCCCCAAAATCTCAGGTGAGATATTTTTTGTAGTAATGCATAATGGATTCCTATCATAGTAATAATTTTGACGAGTGAGCATATAGATTTGAAATTGTGACAATTTATGTAAATATATTAGGCGCGTAATACATTAAAAATAGCATGTRTATATATGTAATATGTATGTTTTAAAATAATTTCCTGTTTTCCTATAGAGTTAAATATGAATATTTAAGATACTCCCCCTCAACTGAAAACAAATCTTAGGTACGGCACTGCAATCAAGTTTAGTTCAAAAATTAGTTCAAATACAAATAATACAATACCAAACAATGTGTGTTAAAACCTAAAATATCTTTATATTATAAGAACTTAATGATTTTTTAATTATATACATTAATAATATTAAAGAAATAAAGAACCATATCTTAGATTTTTTCATTGATATAGGTTATCAGAATTAAAGTGAACACTCATTATTCTGAAAGTATTACAAACAACTTACCTATTTTTTTTTTAATGCATAATACTTATGTAATTCTAATAAATTTTATCATCAGCCTTAATTTGTACATATTTGTTAATGAACACCGCCGTAACACTATATTATGTATACTGACTTTTGATTTCTTAAGAGTCTATTAAAATTTTAATTTCTTAATCTAATACAAAAATGTAATGTTCTAAAAACGATTATGCTCAGATTGGAATAATATTACTGAATGAGTAGTATTTTCGTTGGAAAGCATTACAGTTAATAGATAATAATTGTAATAGAGTAATAGACTGTAGAAAACAACAATTTTTTCAACGTGCCTATTGTTGCTTCACTCTATACCAGGTATATTAGGTATACCTGTTACTCTTATCTCAATATCTATAAACTGTAAACGTCTTTAAAAAATATCAACAAAAAATTCTAATATTTTTATAATTGTTATAATTGATATATTATCATAAAAAAATGTTTAGAAAATTATTTTGTTTCAAACTGTAATGGTGCGACCACATTAATCGATAAACATTTAGTTGGTAAAAATTAAACATTACAATGAGTGTTAGGATCGCTGTTTGCTTATAAAATACAAACATGTAATTTTTTTGGCGTTTGCTGAGTTGATAGTATATTTATCTAAATAATTAGTGTTTGCTATTAAAATAATCACACTGTGTAGATAATTTATTATAATTTTACTATATTTTATTAGTATATCATGTTAAGAGTAAGACAATATTAATTTACTACATATGTAGATTAAAACGAAACAATTTTTTTACACGCGTCTTGTTTAATGTTTACGTTCATATAATTTATATAGTTGCTGAGATATATATAGGTAGGTA